ATTTCCTTTAATATTATTGTATATGTGTATTTTTTGCACATAAATAAAAATTGTTTGCTTGATATTTTTGTTGTATATGTTTTTAATATTAACACTAAGCTTTTTTTGTTTTTCGGTATACTTTCAGCCACACATGCAGTAAATATGCTTCTTACTTTATCAAATATGTATGTATGTATGTAGTCTCTAAATTTGTCTTTTCACAGTATATTAAAAGCTCGCAATATGTTTTTGTTGTTTTCGTTTTGATAACATTTAAAAATGTCGATATAAAGTTATGCGTGTATACCATATGTATGTATGTAAATGTCATTTGGTTTGATTTTGTTTCTGTAAATATTTTTTCTTTCTTGCTACTAACTGCAAATATTTTATTTTATCATTATTACTATTTTTTATCAAATTTATCAGAAAAATTTAAAATGAAAAAATTTTAATGAAGAAATTTGTCATATTATTATCTTAGTTTTGGTAATGCTACAACAAAATATATTATGGTAAATTAATATTTCCAAACTGATTGAAAAAGTTTTACTGTTTGTGTTTTAAGAAAATTGTATGCGTGTTTTGTATTTGCAAATCAATTTAATGAGTTAACGAAAGAGTGGAATATGATTTTCAGAGTCACGTATTAAGATTGGGTTATATGCATATGTTAGCTTTAGTCAATTATTATTTCATATTTTGAAAATTTTCATTAATATTTTGCACACCAAGAAATATCTCGAACGATGAAATCTTTAATTTACACCCTGAAATAAAAAGTATTGATATAATTTTTTTTAGTTACAAAAAAAATGTTAAAAATAAATAAAATGTACGCTTTCGTAAGCCAAATAAAGCATGATAAGCTGATGAAATTTGTACCTTCAAGCACAACAAAACTTCTTTTTAAAGCAAATGATTTATTTAAGAGATGTACTAGCATGAAAACAACAAATATAACTGCATCCACCACGAATTTTTAGTTTGACAATTAACACTTGGTTTCATAACGCCAGTTTGGAAATGATAACAGCAAATTTCTTACTGACAAATACATACATACTTTTATTTAAATCTTCTCCATTTTCCAACAAAATAGCAGTCAAAAATGTTAAAGAAATATTAAAGTAACATATGTGATGTAACTCTTGTTATCTGATAAGCATCTGATAATCGAAGCATTAGTTTGCTGCAAACCACCATAAATGACATATGAACATTAATAATCAAAATTTTGGAGCAGATTATTGAGAAAAATTATATTCATGTAAGAGTAAGTTGAAGCAATTATTTTCTTCTTATCAGATAAACTTCTAGGCATCACATTTATTGCAGTTTACGCTGATATTGTGATATCAATGAAGAAATACCTTTTAAGAAGTTTATCGTGCTTGGTAAACAGCGCTGTCATAAAAAGCGCTAATGAGACGTCAGCGTAACGGCTGACCGCGTAAAATAAACTAACAACCGATTAACAGTAACATAAATTTGGTATTGGTGTGTTGTAAAATCGGCTATAGGCATGTAAGCGATGTATAAAGAAGTTGAAATTTTGTATATTTACTATTAATGATGACTGGCATATTGCTTTTACAACATTTCTGTATGACAATTGCAAATGAAGTTTAATTATGAAGAGATTACAAACCAAGATGGAATATAAGATTTTGGTAAATGGGCTATGAATTCTGCTAATATGCTGCAAAACTGGCTGAAATCCAGTCACATTTGCAAACTCAAAATTTTCAGATCCTATCTTCTTCTTCTTAATTGGCGTAGACACCGCTTACGCGATTACAGCCGAGTTAACAACACCAGATCAGATCCTCAGATAGATTTTCAAAAATAATATGAATAATCTAGTTGACAAGTTTAATGCATCGATAGTGCCGTCTATCATTAAGAAATGTCTAAAAGTGTGTTGTTGAAGTCAATAAAAGTACACATTTCTAAAGAAACGAATGTCTAATGTCAATATAGTGAACTATTTTCCAAATCAAAATTCTTACGCTTGCACTGCAAAGCTTGATTTGCCGTTTTATTGCCAACTAATGTCAAAATAAGTATGTTTGAAACGAAAACGTGGATTAATAACCATAAAATTCAGTTTTAAGTAAACACAATACGATACTTTTTTTTGAAGAATGAAGTAAACTTAACTGCCAAAATGATAAGAAAAGATTAGAACATGACGACATAAACGAAATGAAGTGTCAAATGTTTATAGTAATTGCAAATAATAAGTAATCTGAACGGACCCGGATTTTTATCCGTCCACGGACTGTTAACTAGGCACCATTCCTTGAAATTGCTTCAGAAATGTTTTCTGCCGCTACAAAATCAAAAGCTGCCTCTTCTTTCGCTCATGACTAACGTATTTTCTGTCAAACGCACTACAAAAATGTAACGGATTGAAACTGTCGTAATCTTTATTGTTATAATTCTTGCTTACACAACGACATTGCCCCGCAATAAAATCGCAATGCAAATATTTTTCTAATAAAAGTATATTTCCAATCCAATTTCACTTCCTCTGCGTTACTTTCAAGAAAACAGTTATTGCTTGAGTGTGTTGTCGTTACAAGTGTGAAATGCAAAAAGTCTTGGTTCGTAAAATTGCCTGCTACGTAACGAATTATTCGCAGCAAATATGAAATGTGTGAAAAACTAATTAGGTTTTCCGTAATTGGCGATTAGTGAAGCATTCGTTTGTCGTGCCTGCTGTAAATACATACAAATGTGTAGTGTGTGCTTGTCACATATAACTGGCAGAGTGTAACGCGAATTATTTCGTTATGCGGTGGCAAGAGACCTGGTATAATTAAGCTGAAAATCATAACTCTGTTATTTATCACAATTTCTCTGAAGCAATATTGTACTAGAAATTTATTAGTATTTTTTTTTCAAATTGTTAACAACTCAGATAAGCTGAGTTACAAGCTTTTGAAATATGTTGTTGCATGCAGACAGTTTAGACAAATTTTTCAATACAGGGTGTGCAATATAACTTATTTGCAGGGGTAAAAAGTGAAAAAAATACATATTATTGAAAGTTGAACAGATTTTTTTTTCTAATAAAACGTATGTGAAAATAAAACTTTTTTATTTTTTTTTGGTTTTTTTATGATCATATTTTGAATCAGTTTTTCCGCTATTTACCTATTGTATAAAAAAAACACTAGATACTAATATATAAATAACGAGAGCACAAATTTCCACACTAGTGCTTACCCTAAACGTTGCAAAAAAATTATGGAAAATTGTTTAAAATGTTGTTCAATAACAAATAACAGATAATGTCATTTTAAACCGCGGCCATTTGCCTAAAACGCAAATTCCGATTCCCGATAAGACGCTAATACACGCAGTTAAATTTCCATTACAATTAAGGTTAAAACTAAAGTAAGATATAAGTATATATGTACAGTTACGGACAATAAAATAGAATCAGAGGTTGTGTTTTGATTTGATTGAATTTATAAAGCGTTACATTAACATAATTAGATCTGTGGAAAATATGCTTGTATCAATTATGTAATTATGTGACTTGTGGAGAAAAATCTCTGTGACCCATTGTCCCGAAAGGTGCAACCGTATTCAGTTTACAAGAAGACATATTAATTATGCTGGAGCTGAAAATTAAGATGTAAGTCCGATGTCCAAAAAACAATGTAATGGTTTGGGGACGTTTCTCATGGTGTGGATACATATTGTCATACACATGTTAAAATTTTAGACGAAGTCTTTAATTCGTCTTTCATTTGCCAACTGCAACAACAGAGCGGCCCGAAGCATGCAAAAGGTTTGCTAAGACCATCGTGTAGATGTTATGTCTTTGCCATCACAAGAACTAGATCTGAATCCAATCGAAAGCTTATGGAAAAACGTTGAGGAAAATATTGGAGCCATTGAATCAAAAAATAAGGTGGAACACTGAGAGTAGTGCAAAGGTCTGGCATTCTGTAACAGAGAGCACTTTCTGTAGCCTAATTCAGTCTATGTCTAGAAGATGTACATCTGTATTATACGATAAAGGGTGCTAACAACGGATTTTCTCTGTCAAAATTTATTTGTTTTTTTAATTTAAGATATTATGATTCTATTTTTTCGTCCTCAGAAATTTTGAGATTTGCACTTTTTTTAATTTAAATCAAATTCATATTTTCATAATTTTTTTAGAATGAAAATTTAGTACAATGGATGATTCAGTTTTATTGACCGTAACTGTATATACTTGTATTGTAGATGGAATAAAGTAAATTATACATAAATATAATATACGGTAAGTGAACAGTCGAAGAGCTGTGCTATTTTTGAACGCATTCATGCGCATGAAACAGCTGATTTTATCTTTATGTTTTGGCTTTGGAGGAAATTAAAAATATTTAAAAACCTAAAGATATATTGCATTACAAAAATACAGTTATTTTTCCCATTACTTTAAATAATAAAACAATGCAGTATTTTTTACTTAAATATACAGAAATATTTTAAGAATAACAGTTACAACAATAAAGTTATGTAGTTGGGGAAAAGTGCACTGCATATATATATATTTAAACGACTTTTAGTGTCATGAGATTCTTCGAACAATACATGTTTTTCAATGATAAACAAAAGATATGATGATCTATAACTGTTGCATTGTGTCTTTTACTAGATAATATAAAGATTGATAAAGGAAGTATTGAAAATGTGTCAGCACGTGCCATTTCTGTCTTTAAATAAATATTTCCTAGCGCAACTTAAAAGTAATCACAAAGTTAGACCAGTTCGGGTCTCTTTAGGATCCTAAAAACTTTATTTAAACAGTAGAATAGTGAAAAATATCCCTGTCTAAAGCGCGGTGGAATCGAAAAATTCGCGTTGACCGTTTGAATGCATTTTTCTTAAAACTGTATTTCTACAATGTGCGACAAAGGTACGTGAAGACTATCGCAAGTATACACCCGCTCTTCTTATTGCAGCTTCGCAGTAAATTATTTGATAAACTCCATTGTATTGGTGTGTTATTACATTATACTTTTTTCTAAAAAATTTACTGTTCATTTTCTCCGGTATAAATATGTCTTCAGTTAACAGTTGTACTTTACAACCAAATTTTATATACATTAAGACTCTGTTCTTCATTTTGTTTCAGATTGCACGAGCTCTAAGAGTCATGGTAGCCCTTAAGTCTTCTAGAAAAAACTTCCAACTCCGTGAAAAAAAGTTTAAAGTTAGATCTTTTTTGGGAACTCTAGACTGCCCTAATCCCTTAAAGCAATAGCGTCAAACTTGCTTCTTTTGAATGTTTCTGGTTAACTCAAAGATGTAAAGCTAAACCATACTATAGTCACAGAAGTTTAGCTCTCGAACCACACTTGCAATTCTTATAGAAACGCTTTACAATGAAAGCCAAATTTTAGACCCACTTTTTTTTAAATACTCTATATTAAACCCCAAATTTCCTTTAAATTAAAATACCCAAAACCGTTAGTACATTCGCTAGTCTTTCAGTAAACAGTCGCTTCGGTTTGCTCACCTCACTACTCTTCGACATACATGTGGGCCTTCCTCAATTCCCGCTCCCTGAATCTCGCTATCAAGCATTGCAATATCCAACGATGTATATATTTTTTGAGTACACGATTACCATGGTGGGGCCTAAAATGTACTCGTTTCAACACATATTTGTCACGCAAACTATTGTATAATACCTGTCGTTTGAGCCGCTTGTAATCATGCGAGACGATTTCTTCGTGATGTATGGCGGGAAAATCGAATTGTGTATTGAGTGAGTCATCGTTCGTGATCCTCAACTCATCTTCAACGTACTCTACTGTGTGGGGGGGTGTAATGTATGGGGTTAACGGTAGTGCAGATGGGGAATTATCTACGGCATCGTCTACATTCACTAATGACTCGAGATAATCGGTTTGCATATCATCGGTCACTACCACTCCTTCTTGTGGACTTTCTAAACCCATCATTTCTTCTGCATGCATTTCAGCATTTACAGCTCTTTCAATATCTTCTATACCTTCATCGACTTGCATGGGCAAATCGCTGGCCTGAGCATGCGCCACAACGCTGAGCACATTTTCATTCATATCACATTGTAAAACATATAAATCACTATCGTTAACTAAAATTTCTTCTAAATTAATTAGTACTACATCTTGAGCTTCTCTCTCCTCAGCATCGCCGTCTTCGGGATCTGATGTGACACCGGCTTGTCGATACATTTCGGCTAAAGCTTCTTCAACGCTCAATTCACGGTCCAACGCTTCGGGCGTGTTTTGGTTTGTGTTGTTGTTACTGTTGTTGTTGGCGCTAATTTCAAAGGAACTACTTAAGGCAATATTACAAAGGTCACTTAGCTTTGGTATTTTACTATTTAACGCATCCTCAGTTCGGTTATTTAGCGTATGATTTTCAGTGGAAGTTACTCGCTCTATATAGTCCAGCGATAGTTTCTTCAAACTCGGTACTCCACTGTTGTCATCATCATTATCATCGATATTTATTGCTGCGCAAAACACAGTTTCATTCTGCGGCTGGTTTTCTTCCACTGCGAGTTCACGCGCCAAACCTTCGACATCGCACGACTTCTCACAACTCTCTACACACTCTTCCACCACCTCCGTACCCATACAGCCACGCTCTGCCGCAGCCATTGTCACGTTTGCTTCACCGTTAATTGCAACGCAATCTTCATTTTGCATTAGTTTGTTATCTTCCGCCACACCATTCACTGTTTCGGCTTGTTGCTGTTTCAAAACGCTTGTTGTTTTGTCGGCACTTTGTTTTTCATCGTCCACTGTATCGGTTTTAACATCCTCAAGGTTTGTACTTATCTCTTCATGCCCATCACTATCGCTTTCTAATATTTTTTTCAAGGTTTTAATGTCGTTCTCCGTTATCGTTTTCGAAGAATTGATATATACTTCATTGCCACTGTTATCTTCGATATTGGTCGCTGCCGTATTCTTTTCGCCATTTTCAAGCTCAAGTGAGATACCCGCTTCATTTGCCTGATGTTGCGAAAGTTCTCTTTCCAGCTCCTTCATTTCATTGAAATCGCTTTGCACCGTTGTTAGGCTACTTTGAGAATTCTCGTCCGCCGACGAAGTGGAACTGGACGATGAGGATGTGCTCGATCTGCGGCTAGAAGATGATGTGGATGAATCAGTATTGCTTGATGAGTTACTGTCTGATAAATGTTCGTCAAGATCCATATTCTTCGTGAAGTAATTTTTCGACGTTGTTGTGAAATGTTCTGCACTTCTTCTAGCTCCAAACATATCAAGGCCATTCTCTGTTTCAGATAAATCTACATCTCTATTGAAGTGATTTGGTAGTTTTGCTTGCTCGTCTAGATCAAATGCGTTTAGCATTATAATGTCTGCGTCATTACTATTTTCGTTCTTCATATGTGCTGGAGAAACCATATGTGCAGCAACTTCCATGATGGTTAAAGGACTACTGTCAAACCCTGTTGGATTTTCAGCAACCTTAAATGTGTCTTCGAGGTCCATAATGTTGCACGGTCCTGAAAATCCAGATAACGAATTCTCATTCTGAGGTACGGAGATTGCACATTCAGGTACTTCTGTTTTCTGATTATGTATTGAATTCTCCTCAACTTCTGCGGAACACGTCAGATCCATTGCTTCCAACTCCCTATTTTCAACTTTCTCGTCAACTAAATCAGTAACTGCCGCTTTTTGTCCGTTATCTTCGGTGATCTCATTCACATGATCTTCAGAATCATTTGGTGGAATAACTTGGCTTACGATATTTTTGGTTAAACACGCCAGGTTTTCCATATCAGGTGATCTATTTTCAGCACTTTCATTGCAAATCCACTGGTTCTCTAAAATATCCATTATATTTACACTTGTATTTAAATCGGAAAAGGGTTTGTCAATATCTTTTGTTAAAGATTTCATGGTTACGATTTCACCATCCCCTGATATATCAGCATCATATGCTTCGGATTCAATTTCCTTAATTTCCACTCTATTATCATTTCGGTCATGTTCATCATCATGAGTAGGCCTTGTGTTAATGCATTCTGCATCAGGTTCTATATTATTAACCATTGGTACTGTAATACAACCAGGACTATGAACTTCTTCGATTTTATCCGTTTCAATGCTATCGAGCTCCATTTTGGAATCCTTCACATCCAAAGTAGTTGGCATGTCAAAATCAATGTGATTCTTCAAATTAACGTCGTTTTGAGTAACCTCAATGGTCTTGAGACCCAATTCAGCTATTAGAGGTTCTTCCGGTGACTGTTTTGAAGATTCTGATTCATCAATTTCTGAACTTTTATTAGAAAGTTCGTTTCGAACGTTCTCTTCAAAAATGTTTTCTGCGAATGATGTCAATGAAGGTGGACATGTTACCTTATTACAGACCTCGTTGATAGTATTTTCTTTCGCTTCACAGTCTTTCACTTCGTGCAGCATTGGGCTATCCCTTACACTTTCTTCATTGGTATTTGTTTCTGGGATTTTATCAATTTCTTTATACATCTCAGCACCCTTCAAGAGTTTGTTTTGGAACAGCTCTGAGTTAATGAAAGCCACGCACAGGAATTTCAATGTTTGCGGATTGAAATATTGTTTGATATCGCTTCCATCTGTAGTTGGTAGTGTAGTGCTATTTATGCGGTCGATTAACGGTAAGTGTTTTAGCGAGACTTTGACCATTTCTTCTCTTAACATACTGGATATAATGAGTCGTTTGTTAATCTTAACGAACTGATGATATAGTGCCCGTATCCTGCGTTGATAGAAAGAAGGACCTTTGTTTTGTCGTCTTTTTATATATTTTAAACGAAGTGTGTGTAAGCGGACATTGTAGTCTTTTGTTCTGTAAGGTTTGGAGAAGGTCTCTGTAGAAATAGTTTCCTTATTCACTTCTTGTTCAAGATCGTGCGATTGCTTCGGAATTTTACTTGGATTATTGGTCGTTTCCGAAAATTTTCGTTTTCGTTTATGAAACTTCGAAAAACTTTTAATTTTTTGTGCTATCTCCATATCGCTTTCCGTATTTAGTTTGACCGCTGTGTTATTTATTTCATTTGTTGGCACTTCCTGGTTTACGGCAACATTAGTATTGATATCGGAATGAACTAATTTGTTGCTTACAGCTGTAGTAAAATAGTTCTCATTGTTACTGCTAACCTTGTATTCAAACTCATTTCCAATTTTATTAATGAAGGTCTCGTATTCCTTCTCAAATGTGGAACCATTCGAACTGGTTGTATTGTCACATTCAATGCTTCTATCGAATGTGCTGTCGCTCTTTGCCTGGACGGTTAATAAGGACTGTTCTGGTCGGTGCTCTGCGAAACAAAAGTCTTTCTCCAATTTTTCTGCCATTTTTGGTACAGCAGAAGTATTTACGGCTTTAAGATTAGCAATTATTTCAAGATTTTCTGATTCGAGCATTGCATTGGGTGTAACTACTCCGAGCGCTTCGGTAGCCGCTTTCATGATGACGCTACCGTTGCGCATGGGCGTTGTATCGGTATTAATTTTTGGTATCTTCACCACCTTTATTGATTCTAGTTCATCGAGCTCTTTTTCTACATCGAAGCAATCCAAGCTTACGTCCTTGTCATTGGATTTTCCGACAACATTGTTGTTGCTTGGTGCCTTAGTTGCGCCTGATATATTTGGCACTGCGCCGCCCGACTTCTCGATATCGATGACAATGTCAGGTAAGTTTATATTTGCATACTGATTTTGATCCATATTAATGGTGCTACCAGCGCCGATGTTTGGTTGCGTCTTTGGGTGTGGATAATAATCTTCTTTTATTTGCAAGTTATTTATAACTAAGGGTTGGGGTTGCGCCCTATATAGCGGTGCGGAGTCCCCAACATAGGCAGCTGGTGTATTCGCTTCGGTGGGAAGTTCTTGCAAGCTCGACATTTTATTTATTACTTCAACACAGTTAGTATTATCTTCGACACGCATGACTTGATCAATCGTTTGTGGTGCGTTCTCAACAAACTGTAGCTCATCGGCGCCACCGTAATCCTCTTCATCCTCATTCCATGTGCTGAGAAAATCTCGCAAGCTAGAGTAAGTTTTAGTGGTGGGTGTTGTCGGTGTTGGGTTTCCAGGCTTAACTGTATTCTCACGCGTTGCTGATTTGCCATACATGCCGTCGTCGATTGGTTCCAATGCTCTGGTCAGACCATAGCTATTATCGTATTGGTTCTGGCTCATATTGGTAGCCATATGCTCATCTAAATTGGTGAGCGTTGGCTCTGCTATGAAACTGTCATCATTTGGCGTAACCGCGGGCTTCCGATAGTCGATTAATGAATTCTTCGTAGAAGTAGACTGCGTGTAGGGTGGTGGCAAATTGGGTAAATGGTCAACTCTTTGGACTAAACTTTCACGTCGCTCTTCAACTAACGGCGTAGATTGTATAGGCCCCATATAGCTGTCATAGTTGGTTTGCATATTGAGATCATTATAAAAAGCAGTTGTGATGTCACTGTGGGAACCCGGTGTCATATTACGATTGAGCGGTGGATGTGCAACGACGGCAGTAGGTGCCATAGCGTTCCCATATTGAGCATTGTGGGCCATACCTGCCGGATGGGAATGATAATTCATGTTCGTCGCTTCGTATGCGGGCGTTGCAGCGTAGACATCATTTGTATTCACCTTTGATTTGTTTACTGGTCCATAATCTAGCACGTTATATTTGATGACAGGACTGTTACCGCTGCCGATTGCAGTACTGCTGGAGCCGTACGGAGGCGTTTGCGAGTGTGGGTTATACGTGTTCGGTGGGAGGTGAGGATGGTGTGCCGTACGAGGATAGTAGCAGTTTTGTTGTTGAAATTGTGAGCAACAATTTTGGCGCGCGGTGGCTGTAGCCACGGAAGGCGTGTAGGGATGATGATATGCGAGGGAGGGATGTGCAGACGGCGCCAAAGCGGTTGGCACGCCGCCCGTAGTTAGCGGTGCATGGTGTGGATAAGGGTGTGACAAACGTTCGGCCAGTGTGGGTACAAGGTGTGCTGAGGAATGTGGCGAATTCGACCAGGCACTACGTCCAGTCGCATTCGACGTCATATACTGTTGGTGTGGGTTATAGTATGAATTGTACTTATCATATTTGTTGCTATACTTCTCAGAAGTGTAGTATATATCACGATTGGCGGCGGCGACTGTGGCGTTACTCCCTACATAGCTGGCATTCGTCGGCGGTATGGCGGCAGTAGGTATGCCGTTGGGCGGTGGCAGCGTGCGACAATTACCGTTGGCATAGTCCATGCTCCAGTGCCAAGCCGACGTGGCCGATGGCTTGCGGTAGGCGTCGTTGGGAATTTCAGCAGCATACTGTGGTGGCACTGACGTAGATGCAGTCGGCGCGGGAGCGTATGATACTGCATTGTAGGGCATTGCTGAGAGGTTGGCGGGTGGTGTGGTTGTATAGTACGGTGACTGTGCCACGGTGCTCACTGCATTGTACAAATATTTATCATACTTATCGATATAAATGCTGCTACTACTGTTGCTGCCGTTACTGTTATTCGACGCATTGCCGATAGGAATGCCGACAGGCATTGCTGTATTGCCGTAATGCATGCTTAGACGTTGTTGCGGCAAGCGCGTATTCGGCATGTTGTTGAATGCTTTCACATGCGTCGGACTCGCACCATACGGCACGTCCTGTAGCGGTTTTCCTGCGTGATGCTGCGTAAAGCTTTGCGTATAATTCCCTGTGTTGCTAATATCTAAAGGTTGGTTCCCGTAGTTCAGATAATCGCCAAGGGTTGGCAATTTGGTTCCAGTAGACATTCTATATTTGATGGGGTCCCCATAGGTGCCCGAACCACCCGTCTGCGCTGAATTCGCATAGAACGGCGTTGCGGCGGCCTGCGGTTTAGCGGGTGTATTCGACTCACCAATACGTTTTGTAGAACGGAGCGCGATTTCGCTGCTATTGTTATTGTAAATTTTGTTGCTGTTGGCAGTATTAGTGTGTGGCTGTACAGCTGCCTGCGTGAGCTGCTTACTCGGCTTCTCCAAGGTTGTATAATACGATGTAGCATGCCGCATGCCCAATAAATTGCGTTCACCACCACCACTGGACTGCTGATAGCTTTCGCCACCGCTGATATAAGGGTACGAATCGTATGTATTATCTAATTGCGAGGATGTAGGCAACGGCTCCGTTAATTGATATGAATGTGTTTGATGTGGGAACTGTGGATGTGGTGGATGATGAAGTGTAGGCTGATGCTGCTGTTGTTGCTGGTGGTGTTGCTGCTGGAACGTTTCATTGTAGTACGGCGTTACGGCAGCTATCGTGGCCACAGGTGTCGGCTCGACCAAGCCCACCGGTGTGTTGGAATGCGAGTCCGAATATTGGCTGTGACTACTGCTACTGCCGGCTGAGGCGGGATTGGTGGGGGTGGTGGCGCTCGCATAGCCACTGCTGTTACTGCTGCTGCTGCTGCCACAACTCATGTTGRTATTGCTGTTGCTGGTGGCGCCCAGCGGCATTGCGATTATAGATTCAACAGTCGTAGCATCCATGCTCTGAAGTCTACCACTTTGCGTTAACGAAAAGCCAACTTCCGGCAAACGGTGTTGAAACTGTAAATAGAATTTATGCGGCTATCAGTGGATGATATTGAATTTTGTAGACAGTTCTTAAATTTACTAAAATATTCTTCAATTAAAAGTAATGGCCCTAAAGTGCGACGAATGTGTCAAGAAAACACTCACGTTAAAATTAGACTAATAAACCGAAAAATAGCAATTATATTTAAGTACACATCGATGTATTTTTTTTTTCTAAAACTGCGCTTATTATTTGGATGCGCACACTTCGGTTCTTTCAACGCAAATGTGCGTCCACTTTCATGGAAAAGCTTAAATAAATATTGGAAAATACGAAAACGAACTGAAAAGTGCTGTGCGCGGAATTGGGACTTTATGCATTGGACATGCATGTGTGTATGTAAGTAGATAATCTACGGTCATTTACTAAAATGTTCATTAAATATTAACGATTAACTGTCATTTTTGTTGGTCAACTTTGCGGCGGACTTGACTGCTTTCCTACATATGTATGTACATATAGTCGGAAGAGAAGTGCATACATATGTATGTCTTCCAATACATAATACTATATATCCGATATAAATGAATATCCATGCATAAATGACGCTATGGCATACATACAGAACAATAACTAAGTACACACATACGCAAGCATATTCGTATTTTTATACGCATATGTACATATGTATGTATGCGTATAAAAATACGAATATGCTTGCGTATGGGTGTACTTAGTTATTGTATGTACATATTATATATAGTCTTGTTCAGTGCTCTAAAGCAGGTGTTCAATCGCGTTTTTGGTTTCTATTAGCGTCTGTCAGCATGTTGCCTCGCACGCTTTTCGAAGTCACTACTGTGACCCGCCAATTCGTTTTCAGCCCTCCTTTGTCGTGGCAACCACGTGATGCAAAACAAACCTTTTACTGTTAGCTGGAAAATACTGTTTTCTAACATTGACCGACAAAACTTATCAAAGTCCGCAGTGATGTGGTGACTCAAATGGGACTCTCATGTATGCCGTTCAACGTAGCTTTCAGTTTCAGTTAACGTTCAGCTTTTAAAGGACATAACTCAAAGTCATAGATGTTGCACGTTTATGCCAGCGAGATGAATATACACATAGATATCAAATATAAATTTTCGTACCCTTTGGTATGCATATAGTACCAATATTTATGGGTATTCCGAATCGATATAGTAAGAAATTAGTACTAATAATTTTGTAGTATAAGATTTTAGAGTAAGGTCGGTAGAAAACTACCAGATAAATTATTTTTACAAACATTGCTTTGTTATTTTTCTTGTTTCTGTTCCCAGTCTCCATGAGTTTTATGCAATACGCGTATATGCATATCGCAGATATCGATTTGATATGATACACTAGAGAAAAAGGAAAAAGAGGCTTTTGTATCTGGAATATTGTGGGGACAGTTGACGATTGTCATTATAATTTTATAGACACATTTTATACACCAATTGTAATTAAATTCTCCAATCTAAGAGAGGTACAAAGCATAGAAAAGTGGTCGAGAAAACGTTGAAGACAGGCCTCGTTCTGAACGACCCTCAACCTCTTCAACTGCTCAAAATATTAAAAAAAAAGTGAAGGATTTTGTGCTTGAAAATCGTCAGACAAGTGTTAGAGATATGGTAAAAGAGTTCGCCATCTGAAATGACTTTGGTGAATATTTGTGTATGAAACGGATTCTAGTTCGACTCGTCCTGTTAAAGCTGACAAAGCAAGCTTTTCAAAAAAAGTACCGTAACAGAAAGCATTAATAACAGCTAATGAGACAGGAGATTATGAGCTTGACATACAAACCAGTCAGCAATCACCGGAATGTAACTCGTTTTCAGTCGATCGAAGAGATAAAATAAAATTTACTGAAGGAGCTGAATCCCGTCCCAAGGAGGAATTGAAATTTGTTGGTATATTACATCTGGTGGGAAATACCTTGAAACCGGCAAAATAAATATTGATGAATAATTAAATACATAAAAGGTATTTCGTATATTGTCAATAGATGTGGTTGCAGCTGTATATCTCCAGCCCTACCTATCATATTGTGTCATACCATATAGTGTTGGAAAGGTGAGATTTTAAGCTTAATTGAACGAAAAAAACTAAATTCGGGGAAGTTAATAAAAAAAAGTTACAATTGTTCAAAAATTAGTGAAAATAATGAAGAAATTTATTTTTTGCGTTTTGTATTAAAAATGGAAGAATGCCACGCAAGCGACCAATAAAATTCGTGAAATTTACGGAGACCATGCTGTATCAGTTCGTGTAGCACAACAATAGTTCCCTCGCTTCCGTTCTGAAAATTTCGAAATTTCGATTTACATTGACGAAAGTTTTACAGTGATAGAATAATGTCCCTAGCGGAAGAATGGCAAAAAGTGGTCGACCAAAATGGTACATATTTGTTTATTTATTTACTAGTATAAATTTGATTAGAAATACGAAAAGAATCTTGGCGACTACGCAATATTTAAAATATCGGGTACAAGCTCATTAAGACAAAATATTTTTTTCCAAATTTATATTTATTTAAAAACTTTTTTTTAATAATACACTTAATATATTTATTGCATCAAACGACTTTCCGAATGCATTCATCATAAAATGTATCACAACTATCAAAGTTGCTATATTTATGATCATCGCCGTGCATACAAAGTATTATTGCACTTATGGTGAAAGAAATCAAACGCTGATCTAAATGTTTATGCGAGTTATATGTACATACACTTATAGTATATATGTAATGTATATGTTTGGCTCACAAACATTATGTGGCAGCATTCAGTAACTAAGCAAATAGTCGAAATTGCTTATCAACAAAGAACTTCAACAATCATAACAACGGAATAACGCTGAAGCAGCAGAAGTCGCCTGTAGTACCGCAAACAAATATTGGGCGGCATCCTAATCTTGATTCTCAGAATTAAGTAAATTTTAAAATAATAACGAGAGGGATAGAGAGATCAAAAACAATTGTAAAGTACAGAAGTGTCATTTGATAACAATTTGATAATGTTTACTATAACGTTTGCTTCATTAATGAGAGGGTATGTACAATGGACCCATTCCATTGAGTAATTTAAACAAGTGTGTTAAGTGACAAGAGTCGCACTGCTGAGATTATCAGGTATGTTGTGCATTGTGCCATAAAAGTTAAGTTAATTTATTAACTTTCGTGCCTGTTCAATTATAACAAATATTCACTTAAAAGTAAAACAACAAAAAGTGTCAACTTAGCATAATGCAGGAACTTGATCTTGATAAGTGAGTTTAAATGTCTAATTTCTATAGTGTTATGCTCTGAACAATTTCCTCGAAAGTTGTACTGTTGTCCCGCAAAGATGTCTCGTCAAATAAAAAATATGTGATTTTGATCGCTGATGGAAAATAAAATTCGGTAATGATGAACGACAAGCCTTTGTATTTGAACAGTTTTTTTAAATTCATTAATGGTATATAATTCGCTGTGCAACTTGATCATTCAAAAAAATATGTATATAATTAAGGGGAAAAATGGAAGAATGCCAGGGGCCTAAAGAAATTATTCCAATGAAGCAAAATACCTTCTTGAAAATCATCTTTTTAAAGATATGTCCGAAGCACTGAGGAAATGGCAGTCCATTACCAATTAATTGTTTTCAATCTTCGAGTTGAAAGTTTTTTATACATAACTGCCAGCTTCAGTAAATTTTTTTTTCTATTGACAATTCGCCTGAAAATGACTATTGAAAGCATAGAAAATTGCCCTGGCGAGATCCAAAATTATAAATAAGTGCTAACATCAATAATATTTGAGTAATTTTGCGAGTATTATGATAAAAAATTATTACTCGAGGAGGAATGTTGCCGAAGTCACTTAAGCAGACATTTCAAAACGTTTTAAAATAGCCGGATATATAGTATACAAAAGCAAGAAAATTGGTTGCCATATGAATCGAAGCTAAGGCAGGTTGAAAGACGATTTTGCCTGTCAGGAAAGGATTGTATGAGAAACGTGGTCAGCAAACCCAATCAACGGTAAAGCGGAATATCCACGACGCCAGTGGGTGTGCTGTGTTTTGAGCTTCTTAAATTCGGTGAAATGATCAATGGCGAACGCTAGCGTCAACAACTCTTCAAATTAAAGCGAGCGATTGCCTGGAAACTACTGAAATTTGCAACTATAGATAAGACAGGGTATTTGAAAAGCAGCGGCTCGGAAGTTTTACTTTATTGACCTTATAACCTAGATCATGCACCATCTGGTCACATTAGTTTCGGTGGATGAGGAACGCACTCATTAGAATACTAATATCATCATTTAGAATTGACTTGATTCATTCTTAGCCGAAACCGGCGCAGATGGGCAAAGCTTTAAAAATTTTGTAGTTTACATTTTTCTTAAATAAACGTTTAAATACATACATGGTCCGGCACTCGAAGTGTTATGGAAAAAGTGAAGTGAATGAAAAAAGTCATAAATTCGGTTTGGAAAATTATTTTTATTTATTTTAAAGTACAAAATGTGTGAAAAGAATCATAAATTCTAGACCAATTCACTTTTGCTCGATATGATCACCTTTTGCCTTAACTAGGGCCTTGAGACGGTCAAAAAATTAATCGCAAGCTGCCCGAATGTGACTTGCAGCTATTTTGGCCCACTCACGGATAATGGCTTTCTTTAGCATCTCTAGACTGGTGTATTTTTTACTTCGGACCTTGCTCTCCAAAATGGTTCAGAGAGAATAATCCATTGGACTCGCATCTGGTGAATTCGACAGCCATTGCGTGGTCGTGATGAAGTTCAGAACGTTGTTTTTTAGCCATTCTTGGGTCGCGCTGTGTGAGACGGTACTGAGTCTTGCTGAAACGTCCATGATTTGCGACCGAAATGTTTGTTTGCCCATGGCTTTAAAGAAGCCCCCAGACGTTTAGCTCGATGAAGACAATTGGAGAGCGCCAATCTGCGGGTAACTGCGGCCCAAACCATTATTTGTGGCGGATGCTGCCTCCTGGTGGCCAA